TCATGCGAAGCCAAGGAGATGGTCGAGGGGTTGCTGCTTTAATGCCAACGACGTACGGATCTTAAAGACAAAGGAGTATCGGGGTTTCAGGGAACAGGGGTCCTCTTGATGCGAACCCTTCACAGGCTTTCAAGTTTAGCATGTTTGGCTGCTCATCGTCATAGTCAATGCGTCACGGCAGCAATCAACTTGGATCTTCTGAAGCTGAACAGCGGTTTGAAGTCAGGAAGGTGGTCAAAGTGAATTCCTGCGTGACGGTCCATGATACTGAGGCTTACAAATGCCGAGGACACAAGAAGGGAAATCAAGTACGATTGATACAATCCTCCTCAAATCTCCTCAGTTTCACGCTCAAGTACGTCGGTGGACTTTGCAGTCGCTTAAAGTGACTCCTAAAGTCAGTGCGTTCTTATGGGTCAAAACGCGGAAGCCACGGCCAGCCTGCACGGCTGAGCCGCTCTGTACGAAAGCCTCGGCTCTGTAAGCAGGGCATCATGCATAGTCATAGGTCATGAAGGCATCCTAACCTTCGCTTCGGAGCTCTGAGTCTCTGCTCATGCACGGAAGTAGTTTGTCCGCGTAGAACAGTAATCTCGGGAATGTGTTGCCGAAATTTCACTTACGAAGCCTGAAAGTACTGCACCACACTCTACCCATCAAGAATCTGCTTAAATGAGGCCCAGAGGCTGTCGAAGCCAGGGTGGCAGCTGCGCCTGCGGCGACAGCCATAGCAGTCTTCTGGCCTCAGCATTCATGAGGAATCTGGGGTTAAGGGTAAAGATACAAGCATACAGGGATCCTGTGCCGAACAAAATGTCGTCCTTTTGAGATTTCTGTCAAAGTTTTATGACTTCCGCGCGCAACTGGCGCCAGATGTACAATTTGACATTTGCCGGGGTCCAGATTACCGGTAAGAACGGTCTAGCAAAGAACGAGAAACACTGGCGCAAAGGACGAAGTTGCCGCACACTGGAACAAACTTGAAGATACCTTGATTGTAAATGCGTTGAATGGTTTGACCGTCTAGGTTGCTGATTGACATCGTGACTTGCAGTTTTCTGCTATACGCAAGTACATTCTCTTCACGGTGAGACCGTTACTGTTGGGCAACGGCGAACCATCAGTTGTGTTGCAACTCTTGTGTCTCCAACTATTGAAGGCTATACGATTTCGATTGCCATGCTGTTGTCCCTCTTGAAATAATGTCATGCACCAGTCGAACTTCTCAGCATGCACTGTTGCCTACTGTGCTGTTGGCATCACTCTTGCATTGTTCGTTGTCCCGGTCCATGCTTTTGAAAACTGGCATCGCGACAGAACATCGCGCAGCTGCATGTTGGCTCCAATATCATTCGTACATCAGCTGGCGGTATCGTTGCCCTAAACGGTCATTTAAAAGAATGATGACCACAGTAGACTGTTGAATTACTGCGGAAGCATGTTGGGATTGCGCTATGTTCCAACTGCTTCCTTCATGAAATCATCGCGCTCCATTACAACTCCCTTTCCTCTCCCAATGACAGGCATTCAGCCCTGGAACTCCTTGCTCCCAACTCATTTCAGCAACTCAGGCTGATGCTCGAGGGCATGTTGCGGCTACTATTAATAAAGTTAAGAAAATGTAAAAGAATTAGACCGGCCGGACTCTCCGCAAGAGCCTCAAAATGCCTGCGCAAATATGCCAAGCGATTGAAGGTCCTACCATGTCCTACCTGTCGTTTCCAAACTCAGTGTCCGATACGTGTCATCTGCGTTTTTGAGTTTTATGCTATTGTCATTCACGCAGAAGAAAAGTATCATGCTACCATGACCTGCTCAATACTAGCTATTAGTACTATCCTTGTCAAGAATCCAGCTACAGTTTCTCGTCAAACCGTGTTGAGGTTTAGCAACATGCCTTTCCCTGAGAGTCCAAGGATCCAAATAACAGGGTTTTAGCGCCAAATACCATTAACATCAATATAGTATTTGGGCCCTAAAACCCTTTTTGTTTGGGTCCTTGGACCCGTAGGGTTTAGCAACATGCTACAAGCTCGTGATCTTTCGGTGGCCAAGCCGTCTGCGTAGGACCTGCTTTGATACCTCTGAGCGTCTTAAGGGTTTAGGGTTTAGGGTTTAGTGTTTAGGGTTTTTGGTTTAGGGTTTGTTACGAACCCTGGACAAATGCTCCTCCCTGATACGACTACAGGTCTGACATTGTCTTTCCGCATTGAAGTTTGTTGGAGGATGTACAGTAAGGACTTGATAATAACATATAATGACCCTAAAGGTCCAAGGGCCCAAACGAATGGGGTTTTAGGGCCCAAATACTATAACATCAATGGTATGTGGGCCCTAAAACCCTATGATTTGGGTCCTTGGACTCTCAGGGAAAGGCCTCATAGAAGTCAAGCCAAAAGGACATCCTGCGAAGCGAGCTCCCGGGACACTTTCAAATTAGAAGCCCTTGAAAATCTATTGAACATCTAGAGTCACCCTTAAATAGATAGAACATGAGGTACATGGGGATCTTATGTAATATACCGAAAGCCAAATTTTATCTACTTAAGGAGGACTCTAAATAAAACCGATTCAAAATTACTTTTACAGGGACACCAATTGGATTCAAATCTACCTGTTTTTCATCGAATTACAATCGAATCATCGATAACCAAAAGTCTAATGCAATTTCAAATCGCAATACACCCAATTGAAATCGCACTCAACCTTTTGTATAACTTCCTGCAAAAATGTTGAAGAACAATCAAAGTCTAGGACATCAAGGAGATCCCTAATTCTCAAGAGTCTTGCTAGGACGCCCCACCTCGTTCACAGGATCCGAGGCGTACATAACTTTATTCTCAATTGGCACTTTTACAAGTAGTCTGGGGTGCCAATTTCAGAATCTAAAATTCTAGGGCACCCGTATCTTATGTTCGGGGCGGTTTAATATTAGGGGGAAACGATTACCTTATCGTAGCATCAGAAGCGGCTAGGGTGGGGGAAGCACTCAGGGCTTCATGGTTGGAAATGTCATGGGAGATGACACGAACATCAGACACGAAAGTCCACTTGGATGCAAACAGCTGCTTTGATACGTGTCTGAATGGGTTTGTTGTGTAGCGACATCACGGATTGTTTGGGGGGACACCAAGACCGAAGAAGCAACATTAAACTATTCAATCTGGCTAGACCACTTGTCCTGCCTGAATCGCTTCAAGGGAAGCTGGAGGCTGATGTGTCAGGCGCTTTTTTGCGTGCTCATCTTCTGCACAAGATCATCCACAGCCGAGAGCGGGCCGCAGCTGGCTCTGCCGCTGTGGCAGCCTATTAAAAGGGCCCTTGGGCCAAATGTAACAAAAAGTTGGTGCCGAGAAGGCTGAAGGCTCTAGCTCTAACAAAATAGCTATACACTGCCGCTTTCGCCCTCCGGTTTCAAAGGCTTCCCCTTCTGAAAGGGTTTGCCGGCGACGCGTCAGCCTGGTAACTGGGACTGGTAGCCTGCGGCGCTCAGGCCGAAGCCGCGACCGGCTCGGCGCGGAGCGGCGAGGCGGTGTAGTTTGCCCAGTCACCCCACGCGGAGCCGGTGAGGCCGTCCTGTCAAAGGGGCCATTTGAGGTCAAAAGCGAATGTACACAAGCACTTGCGGAAGATCAACCCCGGTGCTGATGTTCAGAACTTACGTTGCTTGCATGCCCAGAACTGCCTGGAAGAACATGCCGATGATGGCCATCATGGCGAGTCTGCCGTTGGCAAGCTCCGCAGACCTTGGCTGGGATTTTTCCAGATCAACAGTCTCCGCCAGGCTTTTCCGACAGACTCGATTAGTTTCCTGTAAAAGCATGTAACAGCCATTCTGTTAGCAAGACCGTTTGGAAATTTCATCATTTTCCTGTATCGGTTCGATCTTTTGTTTCCTCTTTCGTTTTCACCCAGTGAACTCACTCGGTTCACTCACTGCGTTCTGACAGTGAATTCAATGGTGCAAAAGGCAGAAACATCCTGTCCCTAGAAAAGCCACTGCTTGAGTAAAAGGGCGAAAGGTTTCCCAACTCGCCTGTTAAGGGTGCGTAACAGTTAAGGAAACAGAAATATGGTAATTTCCTTAAGGGGGACCTCAATATAGGCCCCAATATACTATAGTCCTCATTTTGGGAACCCCAAAAAAAACCTTGACCCCTGTATAAACCACTGCATAATTCCAGTTTCCAGTTCATGTTCTATGTGTTTTTCCATAATTTGATTCTCCATGATCAGGGTAATATTCTCAAAATATGCCTAAATCCAAAACCCCTAAATATGTCACCAGAAACATGATGAGATCATTGCAAACACAACCCAAGCTGCAGCTTCTTCGTCTTCTCGGCCGGATCGCTGGAGGTCA